TTAAATCGATTTTATTGGATCGTATGATCCCCTTGCAATTAGACTTACTGTTGTGCTAATACCTTGCAAGGACCTATTATTTCGGCGTCTCGCCTGTAAAACTAATACTCCCTAGCTAAGCAATTTCTTGGAACTTGCTGAATTAGGAGAATTGTGTTGCAAAAAGTTATCACTCATTATTTAAAAGATTGCGGAAATTAGATGCAATAAAATTTCAGCTCTAAGTATTTAGGACTAGTAATTTATCTCATCGAAATTGCCTCAATCGACTAGAGCGATACCATCATTTTAGACTTTTTGTATTACTGGAATCAAAATCAAGTTTAGTGCTATATCTGCTATGCTTGAAAAATATGACTGTGCATTTTATAAATTTGATTCAAACATTATTAAATGCTGATCACCTTTCTTATCTACACTTACATGGGGCCTGAAAAAAAAGTTTTGGCAAATTATATTTTACCAAAATGTGTGAACCGCCTAGGCTATATCAACTTATCGTTAGTTGGAGAAATAGTTCACTGTAACTTCTCCACATGTGGTGGTATAGTGCTCGGTCTCAGTGTCATTGTATTTTAAGGGGGCCTCATGGTTCAGTTTCAGTAATGATAATTAATGTTGATACAAAAAGCTATAATAAGACAAATATATCTAGTTGTTCTTGTCTACCTGTTTGTTGAACCTATAAGATTAATAATATATAATACACATGATTTCGGAGATATGGATTCGTCTAAGAGTTTCAGACTTTCAGTTATATAAAAGAACATATAGCTACTACACTTAAATAACTCCAGATAATTTCGTGTCAATACTGTAATTTTATACTGTCAGAGAAATGTGGGGGGAGAAACGAGGAATTGGTATATGGAACAAAACCCTAGTGTTGGCCTTACAAAACTTTAAATTTTCGTATATATATTTTTTTTTTTAAAAACATTAGTGCGTGCGTATAATAAAATGGGACGTACCAAGTTGAAGAATAAAAATAAGAAAGAAGGAAACACAAAGATAGAGGAGATGGGACATTGACGTGGCTGCATATGCCAAATGGTACGGATCCATGAGAAATGGAGCCAAAGAGCCAATCCTCCTCCTCGTACGGGGCCCTTTTTATTTCTTTTTAATTTTTAATTGTCACATCCATCTTTTCATATAATTTTATGTAATGTGTGTACACCAACATATTATTTCCTAGGGCAGTCTCAAAGTATTTAAATATCTGTTGTGAAACAAAAAAACAAATGTTGAATATATTTGATAATTGGTATATGTTCACTTTAAGCGATTTGGGCAAGTTTGAAATCATCGGTTGAATTTGGTTTCCGTTGAATCGCCATCGAATCCGATTCCCTACCAGAGCCATTATGGCCATCACAGCTGCCTCGAGATTTTTTTTTTTCCATTAAATTTATGTCTTTAAAGTTCATAATAGTATGGCTAACCTATTAACAAAACAATTTTTACTGCTTATTTAAAAAATAATGAATGATGATATCAAATTTTATGTTTGGCAAAAACAAAGTTATAAGAATTTAATTTGTATACATATTCATGATAAAACAATATATATATATATATATAAATATGTATTCATAATTTATTTGTTGGAATGTTTATGAACCAGAGTGATCACGTTCGGATGCATTAATCGCACTTGCTGCTAAAAAGCTGTTTTGGTTGCAATATAATCGCGTGGTAGTGACCCCACCACATTCATAGCCGTATGTATTTTAATTGCTTTTATATATTTGAAATATATAAAGTGATCGGAGAGTATGGTGAGAGCAAAGTTTGGGGTAACACATACATAACCCTAATCAAATTCTTTTGGGGAAAAAGGCTTTGATCATGTAAAAGTAGAATTTGGAATATTTGTTGCCGACAAATATAAAAGATGATAGTAGAGATTGATCGAAGCTCGTCTCTAAAATACGAACAGAAAGTGAGCCATATGACACATTAACTACTCTCAAGTCTCAAACCCATCCAAGAGAAAAGAAAGAAAGCAAAAGAACGTTTAGTTGTCGACATTAATGAATGATAGTACTTCGTAGGTTTGTGTAGCCCTTAAATTTCGCTGACAATGTACCTCCCAAAGAAAAAAAAGATAGTGAGAGTGATAAATAGATATTAATTATTATTACTCTGGATGTATATATATATATATATTCTATTCTTATTAGCTTTCTTCATTTGGAAAACACTTTAGGGCTCTCTCACCCTCTGCATCTGTCTCCTCGTATACCTCTTTCCCCTCTCCTCTCCAGCTCCTTCTGCCAACTGCTTTTAATTTCATCCCAAATTCGATTTAATTACGTCATGAAGATGACATATTTACGTCCATTATAGTTTATCCCAACAAGTTGGCTCATAATCTTTTTACATTCGAAACCAGCATTTGATAATAATCGTGGGCAAATGACAAATCCAACAAACATATAGTACCAACTATAGTGATGTATTAATCAAATTCTCTTCCCAAATTGTTCTCTATCTCACTGGCAAGATGTGTATTCGCATCAATTTTTTTAATATTTAGTGGCAGCACAATATAGTTGAGCTAGTGTCTGCCGTTAACCATATATAACGATTATATATAAATCTTAATTTACTATTTGGTGAATAACAGAAAACAATTTTTCTTCACAAACACTTCTCTCTTATTCTTCCACTAAAATGTACCACCATAATCTTTATATACACGACCAAGTAAAAGAAGTAGATCTCATATTACTAAAGAAAATGTTGTATTGAAATTTATGATTAGGCATTTAGGCTTATTTAAATATTACTCCCTCCATATTTTATTAGAAGATGTTTTAGAGATTTGCATACAGAATAAGAAATCATTTAATACTCTACTTTTTTATCAAATTTTTTTTATCAATTTTAAAACGAAGAGAATATCTAATAAAACCGCCTCTAACCCGTAGTATTGTTGGCGAGTTAGCGTAATATGGTATACATTTCTTCTTCTAGTTATATATTTTATAATATTAATAGGACTATATATTTTTCTATAATTTTTATCATCTTTTTATTGTTGTTTTCTAAAATGTACATAACTTATGTTATCATCTCCTCTTATCTCTTATTATATTTTAAATAGAAATAAATTTATGTATATATATATATAATTTATTTTCATTGTATATCAAAATTTTGAGAACATAAATAAAATAAAAAATAACCGAACGAAAGAATAAATTATAATAAGATGAAACAAAATGAATAAGAAATAAAAATAGAAGTATTTAAAAAGAAATCTCTCGCACTTTGTTTTACAAAGTCACTTAATAACTTTTTAATATCTAAAAGCCATATTTTAATTTTTTTTACAAATACGCGTACAAACATAAATATTAATTATACATTAGTTGAAGTCACATGTAAACTTTTCCGTGCATGTATTTTGTTAAGATTGATTACAAGCTAATTTTTATTTGAATTATTATACAATTTATATTTTTTAAAAATATTTATCTATTCTAAGTGTAGTGAAGAAGTTGGTATGTCTGCACATGCGTGCCAACCATCTATCCGCTCTTAAGAATATGTAAAAATGGTAAAAATTATTTCAGTTTAATTTGCAATAAATCAAAATATATATATACTTAAAATATATTATATATGTATTTACAAATTCATATTATGTAAGACGTAAAAAAACATATTGTAGATTGTGTAAGGAGAAATAAAGCATATTATAGAAATATTCAAAAAATATTATAAAAAATTAATTATTATTTAACATAACTTTTATATTTGTGATTATATATTATTACAAGCATTATAAAAAATAAAGTTTTTAAAATATATTGGTTTCAGAAAGAAGTTTCTGAAATATTAAAAATATATATATACAAACATACCAATATTTAAAAAAACTAATTAATATTTAAATATTATAATTAACTATGTATAAAAAAAATTATATTCGCATATATGTGCGGGCAACCACAAAACCGCCTCTAACCCGTAGTATTGTTGGCGAGTTAGCGTAATATGGTATACATTTCTTCTTCTAGTTATATATTGGCTCCTATATTTTTTTTAAAAAAAGTTTTATGAAATATTAAACTGTATATACTAAATAATAAAAAGAGTAGAAATCAAATAAACCAATGCGATCGACGTGGATCTTATCTCGTCGAGAGTTGGGAAACCCATTGTGCTTTAAATTTGCAGAAGAATCTCGTCAGACGCTGCGGTTTTTTTAAAAAAAATTCTTCCTGGGAAGTAAGGTACTTATTTATTATCATCTTAATAATTTTCTGTAAAGTCTAAAAGCATAACAAAACGCTAATAAGATCTTAAGTCATATTATAATCGATGTGACACCAACGGCTTGCAAAAATAGACCATATTTTTCTTTCGTTGTTGTAAAAAAAATATTTTAATATTTTAATCCAATATCATGTACTGTACATTTGAAAATTTAAAATATGTTCACATAAGTCTAACTATAAGTAGAAATATGCATCTTCCAAGCAAAAATACGTGCATCTTTTCGCTATATGGCAAAACAATATGAATAGTTGATAGTGTTTCGTATTATTGTTTTCTGACATAACAGATTTTCTTCATTAGGGTATTGTTTTGTAAATCTTATTAAGTTTTTATTTAACTTCACTAGTTATTATGCTTTGTTGAGTTTGTTCTATGCACTCAAAATACGAAAAAGTTTCGAATCTTTGTATGGTGGCGGAGCTGAAGGATTTCAAAATGTTAGGGTGTACTTGTATATGAGTATGATATTAGTATTTGATACAAGCATTTAATTTGGTTCTGCGACAAATATGTAATCTGATTTATATAAAATCATTCGCTAATATTAACTTGGGGGCAATTTGTGACTGGTTTATACACACAAAAAACCAAGTAAGCAAATGTATAAAAGCATTAACTTTGTAATTTTTTTTCTAGAATTTCATAAAATGAAACGTTTATTTTTCCTATCATTCTTCCTTTGAGAGACCGACCATGGAAAAGTCCTATTAAACGCAATTAAAATGATCCGACATATAGTACTTTTTACTACATAGACTATAGAAAACATTGTTTTTGATTATTTCTTCTTTCTTTCGTACACCAACATTTTTCTTCAAAGAGAAAGGAAAGAACAATATGAGTAATCTATGAGGTAATATAATTTTAATCTGATTAAACTCATTCCACAAATGTTTTAGATCTTTTCGAAAATAATTCATGAAAGTCAAAAACAAAAAAGGACGACAGCGAAAATTGGTTTGCAAAATTCGAGAAATTCCAAGTGATACGGCTTCTCCTGCCCTACAATAACTGCAGCAAAAACACAGAGACGACAAACAAAATCATCAAAATAAAAGATTATTACTGTTGCAATATCCCCAAAGTAATAATTATTCATTCCCCACACTTACCTCACTTCTTCCCTTTTGTTCCAAGAGCTTTGTCTATAACGCTTTGATAGTATTGTGTATACGAAGCAGTCTTGTTTCGCTTTTCAAGCTGCAAAAACGTTTCTATCGCTTGTTGATCGTTTGGAGAGAAAGCCGCGTCATCTCTCTTCATTTGCACAAACGCAATATTTAACTCTACCTAAACAAAACAAACAGCCAAAAACGCATTTCTCAGAACAAGATTTATGCAAGCCAAGATTATTGATATTCCACAAAAGACGTAGATTGTTGGTTAGGTTGCTTTAATCTTTAGAAGAGTTACCTGTTCGACAAAGCGTTTCACCACACGCTTCAAGCCTTCCATAGTGCTTCTCTCGTTAAATTTCTTCAGCCTCATGAGTGGAATAGTAGCTAGCTCTGGAAATGATATGTGGAAGCTCCATTGAGCAAAGTGCACAGCAAGGAGTTGAATCACAGAATAGATACACTGTTCTTGGAAATTTTGGGACTTTAACCAATTCTTCGGCAGCTGCAAAACAAAGAATCTATTAGAGCTTATCCAGGGGATGTGATGATATAAATGAAAATCCAATACTACAAAGTCTTTTCAAGGCGCGGGATTTCGAACCTTAACAGTTGAGACAGCTTGAAGCTTCTTTTCTTGCTTTCCACTCTCATTTGCGGTTCTATATTCCAACATATCCAACACTAATGATGCTATTGGAATGAATATACCGCTTGTACGAGAGAGATGATTGAGCCATTGAATACACTTAACCCTCAGGAGCAGGTTCCGTGGTCCAATGAATAGTGTAGCAACTCCATTTATAACCTGAACTATAGTATAAAGCAGAGGCTGGAGATCACAATCCTGAACGTTGGCAGCGATGAAATTCACCCAGAGATCAAGACAATTTGTGTAGTGCCCGCTATGTATCTTCTCAAAAGCTTCCTGCTTACAAAAATTGAAAGAGGCTAAGAAGACAAATACGAAAACTTTTTAAGTAGAAGAAACGACCATGTATATACTAAGACGCACCTTATTCTTTGTAACGAGAGCCATCTTCAATAGCTTGGCAAGTTGTGCAATAGAAACAGAGGCCTTGGTATAAGAATTCTGCATATCTTGAGAGCATAGCTCAACAAGAGAATCTCTGAGGAACGGAAGACGTTGCTCTGAATTTGTCTTTGGAATATCGGAGTCATGTAGAAAGGCTTTGTACATGTTGATTAAGCAGGTGTCGAAGCATTCCGAGTTAAAAACCATACTGATGTCTTTCAAGACTAGAAAAGCCTGCTGTGATAGAGTCCCTTCACCGGTCACCCACAGATCGATAGAAATCTGCAGAAATTTACACAATCAAAACATGACCTCCCAGAAAAAAAATAAAGGGGCATCAAACTGAAAGAGGAAACATAAATTAAGGGTCTAAACAAGAATTTTCAATGCATCTCTTTAGATAATAGTGATACTCTTAACGCCGAAAAGATTAGACAAAACTATCAGCTAATGAGTCTAGTCCAATATATGCAAACAGTGAATATATATGTAGTGCGTACCTTGATCATTTTTTGCAGCAAATCTGGAAATGCGGCAAGGAATACTAAAGTAACTCTAAGTTGAGTAAGCGCAAAGACTATGATCTCCAAATCTGCAGCCTTGTTAACAAGATGCATGGTACTTCTAAAGAAAGATTTGACCAGTGGTTTTACACTATCCCATTTTGGGTTGTTCTTCAGCTTCAAAATCTTCTCCTTGTTACGGGAGCTTGATAATCCCAGAATGTTCCTGAAAGTGTGATCAGCTTTTTGGAGCACAAAAACCACGACCTTGGCAAACGTCTCACTGTCTTCTATGTCATAATAGTGTACATCAGGCTTCGTATCTCCTGATGGTTCGTGCCCGTAATGACATGCAGCTCGATACCAATTTAACAAACTAGTTAATGCTTGAACAGACTGCTCCTCTTCAACTAGGTCACAGCAAGAGCTTAAAATAGATCCGGAGAGTACTTTACGCTTCATTGTATCTGATTCAGCTTCATCTACCAACTGCATTGGATGATCAACAGCTTCACCTTTACTTTTCTGTATAGACAAAGAAGAGCATGTTCACAAAACCTGACATCGTACAACCATTGCATCACCAGCTAAATAGTACAAGTAACTGTTACCTTTTCATTCGATTTAGCAAGCTTCCTCCTCTGTTTCTTAAGTTCCGTGCTCTGCATCGACACCTCACCATCTGTGTTAGCCAATACAGAGTCCTGTAACACAATAAAATATTGTGAATACTTGGTACCATCATCACAGAGAAACTTCAACAAACGCCAAGCTAAAGAATACCTCAGCTAGATATCCATCACTATCTGAATCACCAACGTCGAGAGCTTGAACTTCATCCTTGCTGAACACTGCATCTATGACTATATCCTGAGGATTTTCTTCAAGACATCTGAAAACATAAAAGGCGAACTAATCGTATCAAACTCCACTAAGAGCTAAGATACGGAAACCAGATTACTCTGAGCAAGCTATTTGAGAGAACAGGATTGTACTTTTACCTCTTCTTATGTGGACGTTCTATCTTCTTCTCTTCTTCATCTTTCACTCCCTTACGCCCATCTCCTAAACCACAGAAGTTCATAACATTGATTCTAAACAATCAGCAATCATCTCTAAACATTTAAAAAAAAATAAACTTTCAGCTGTTGCAAACACCATTTACTCTCCAGTACCATCAGATTCGAGTATAAGTACCATCAGATTCGAGCATAGTAAATCGAAGATAAACACTACTACGATCATAAAAACACCTACAGAGACGAAAAAAAGACTTACTCTTTGCGAATTTCCGTTTGAGAAAGGGCTTCTGCTTCCTGTTTCGCTTCTCAACAGACTGAAGATTTTTCTTGGCAAATTTCCTAGCTTTCTTCCCAAGCTTACCCATTTCACAGGTCCAACAAGAAGGCTCTGCAAAGGGTTTTCTAGGGTCGATTAATTCGGATTCCCAAGCTAGGATTTTTAATAATTGTATCCCAATTAATCAGGATAAAGTTTCTAAGAGCCGTGCGTTATGATAAAATCGGAAAAAGAAAATAGGTTTTTTTAACAATCTATTTGCTTAATTTCCACAGAAGACGAGCAACTCTGAAATTCGACAAGGAAAAGAAGAAACTTTACCGTTTAGAGCTGAAAGCACACGAAAGGATGCTTAAGCAAGATGGGTCTGAGAGGAGAATCAAAAATTGTAAAGGAGATAACAGAGAGTGAGAAACGCGGCGCAGAACGAAGAAGAAGAACAACAAACAAGTCGAGAGGGGTTTAGGTCTTTCTTTCTTTTGGTTAACAAAGGGTTTTAGGTGAGTGTTTTTTTCTTTCTCTATTTTATTCTTATAAACGTTTAAAGCGTTATGCGCTTACAATAAATAAATTAGCGTCTAACATTTAAACGTTCTGCGGTTATTGCTGTTGTCCATTGGACTGGGCATCGGTTCGGTTCGGTTTGTTTTAGTTGGAAAAACTTTCGCTGAAATTGAACTCCGAACAGAAATTCGGTTCGGTCGATTCGGTTTCATGCGATATAATGTCGTGTTTATCAACATAAACAAAAGATCCGTCTTCGAAATAAGCATTGTCAACACGGATCCAAATATGTGGGTCGACCCGATCTTGTAACTTTTGTTTTTCTCAGTTTTACCGATTACTAAAAACTTGAAAATCGATGCTCTTTAGGCATTAAAAATAGAAGTTGGAGCCAGTCTTGTAGAAAATGTGTAGTTATAGTATCAGGCAAGCATAGCATACAAATATAGTATATGCTTCAAGATTTTGTCTAAAACCTGATTTTCTTGGGAGGGACAAAACCATTAAGAGAATTGGGTCAGATTCCACTGGGATCATTCGAAGCCTTTTGGAACCATTCTTAATTCACTCTTTTAAGCCCAATCTTTTTAAGCATAAAAATAAATAGCCCATTTGAGGATTATCAATTTCACTCTTGCCGGGAACACCCAACCTTGTAATCTGTGGACTATTTCAGGATTATAAACTTCTTCACTCTTACCCAAATGTAGATGAGTTTTGGACCTTTGGTTGTTTTCCTGATGGATCTACTGATTAAAGAATAAATAATTCTCAGTTTAAACGGACGGATTAAAAACTTTGAAGTAATAATGTTTAGTTTAAACCAAAGGTTCCTTTATCAATCATTTTGTATAATTTCATTTGTTGCTTCATTCGTAGTTAACAATTAATAATCTATACGTACTTATATTTTACGCCTAGGTTATTACTGAACATGTAACCTGATTGTGTTTTTATTATTATATAATTTCATTAATTATTTAGACGCATAATTATTTCATTTTCAATCACGGATATACCTAATTTGGTCTCAAAACAATAGAAAGGTTGTTGCGCAAATTTCCAAAGTCAAAACGATTGATGGCATGCATGCTAGTCATAATTAAATGTATCATGTTTAATGTAAATCAAAGGTTCCTTTAAAAAACATTTTTGTGAAAGTTGATCCAACGATGCTATATCGCAAGGATCGAGGACACCTTGTTTTGAAACAGAAAGCTATACATAACATACATATATATAGGTTTATATATCGAGCTATTCAGGTGCTAGCTCATGTTTCATCAAACGTCTCTAGATCGCAACGTGTTTATCATTAGATGGTAAATATACGAGATAGTACGGTATGCCGTACGTGCCCTGGTTCGTCCGATGAGTATGTCAGATCTGTTTTTCGTACTTTATATTTTTCTCACATTCATGTGTACGTAACTTCCATACACCGTGACAACATTTAATACACACGGACCTGCGTAGCAAAATTTTTAGCACTCGTCAAGTTGTTTGATCAGTCTATCATGGATTAAATTGTTTTAGATCCTTTTACCCAAAAAAAAAAAAAAATGTTTTAGATCCAGACATTTACTTATACAATATATCATAATTTAAGTCGAGCTGAAGTTTTTTCTTTTTGACAAAATTGTCGAATTGATGTTACACATTATCTTTGTTATACAGTATGATTTTGATTTTGAGGATGAAAATTGACAACAAAATAAATAGTTATACCAGTTCAGAAAAGATATTGAAACGAAAATAAATGGAAAGACGTGAAGTTATCGTGAGAGGAGAGGTAGATAATAAATTCACATGCAAGTGGGTATGTGCTCTCATGATAAAGCAACTCCTTATTCTCTTAAGCGTTCATGTGCATTTTGGAAAAAAAATATACACGTAACTAATTGCAAATATAGTAGCAATTTTCTTTACGCAAAACTGATCTTAATTAGTTGCATTATTAATCTAAACAAAATATGAGTCTATGACTGATGAATTACAATTATTTTCAGAATATCATATCTACCCGGAAAAAAAAAAAGAAAATCTATATCCACGAGAAGCTATAAACTTTGATTAACTAACAGAGCACGTGTGCATGTATGTTTGTATATTGTTCTGCTGGCGTTGATGATGTGGCAAATATAACAAGATCTGGTTGGTGCATAGATATGCCTTGTCATCACCAAAGTGTCCTTAATGCTCTTCCACCCTCACCGCCCCTAACTGTTTTCCTCCTTTGTTCTTTATTTTCATCTCATGCTTCACTCACTTGTATTTTCCCAACTATTTTTTTTGTTTGTTATCTTATTATGAGTTTAATTTAACGAATTAAATATCGACATTTTAGACATATATGTCATTCCTAATAATAAAATGATGCTGTGATGCAACAACCATTCAGAAAATTGAACTTCAATAATTAGAACAGTTGACATCAGATAATATGTTGTTGTTTTTGCTTTCTCATGTAATAATAGCAAATTAACGTTCTACGTAAAGTAAGCATGCATGAATAAATATATATATAGTCTTGCCGATGATTGAATAAATATTTATATTTCCTACACAGTTTTCAAATTAATACATTGATAACTTAGGTACGTACTACGCCGTACGCGGTACGTCTACATAACCAACAACTTGTATATAAATCAAGTTAATTTTTAACTTAACAAAAACTAGCTATTTTGATAATAAACATTGATTCGGATCTGAAACCCCCATCTTTCCTTTAACATTTCTTAACTATTTTGCAAACTTTTATTCAACTCAAATATTCAATCTGTTGTATCGTTGCATATCTTATCAGTCAACAATTAATTCAGTTGAATGGCAATCATCAGTGTTTTCAATACGAACTATTTATCATGTAGTTTGAATTGCATGGGACATGGGTGACTAGTTTATGAGTAAATATTGATATTAGGAGTACATGTTTCGTATTTCGTTAGATATTTGACACTTATCTATTTTAATTTGGAGTTATAGATATTTGACACTTATCTATTTTAATTTGGAGTTTATCTCACACTATATTATTAATAGATCCATAAACTAACCAGATAAAAGACCCTCCATGATCTCATCTTATTGCAATCAAAATAAGATTACAACACGACTAATTATAAACCCATTTTTCACCATACGTGGTAATCTATATATTTTCCAAAAGTTCGTCTAGAAAATACTAAATTGGCCAATAATATCTCTTTCAGTGTTTCTCTAACTTTGGAATATCTCTCCGCCTATATAAATAGCGAGCTTCACAAGTGATATTTCCACCATCATCAAGTCTCTCAGCCTTTTAAGCTCTACAATCTTCTTATTCTAGCTCCTCCATTTGAAATCACAAAAAACATATACGAAAATGGCAATGAGTAGTCCATCGATTTTCTTAACCACATTTCCTCTCTTTCTCCTCTTGACCTTCACCAACGCTGGGATCCCTGGCGTCTACTCCGGCGGCTCTTGGCAAACCGCTCACGCCACTTTCTACGGTGGCGACGACGCTTCCGGAACGATGGGTCAGTTCATCATTCTCCTCAAACACATAGTTTCAAATATCAACTCTCTATAAAAACAGAGCACTCTGTTTTTCTTTCAAAGCTTAATTTTTGTTGTTCTCTTTTTTAAGGTGGCGCATGCGGATACGGGAATTTATACAGCCAAGGGTACGGCACGAACACGGCGGCGCTAAGCACGGCACTTTTCAACAGTGGCCAAACCTGCGGCGCATGCTTTGAGATAAAATGTGTCAATGATCCTAAGTGGTGTCACTCAGGCAGCCCTTCCGTCTTTGTAACCGCAACCAACTTTTGTCCTCCAAACTTAGCTCAGCCTAGCGACAACGGAGGCTGGTGCAACCCACCACGCGCTCACTTCGACCTCGCCATGCCCGTTTTCCTCAAGCTCGCTGAGTATCGCGCCGGCATTGTCCCAATCTCTTACCGCAGGTTAATATACACACACTTAGTAGTGTTCGGTCCAAGCAGTTTCGGATTCGGTTTTATGCAATTGTTCAAGAAGTTCTCATTTTAAAAAAAATTAGTAACCAAACTGAAGCAAAATCAGTAAACACGGTTATGTTTAGATTCGGTTTTGATTAATTCGGATTTTCGGATATGTAAAAACGAAATCAACTCTCTAATCGTACCAACGGTTAACTTGGTTTAATAATTATTTCCGGATTCAAATTTTGTTTATAGGGTGGCATGTAGGAAGAGTGGAGGGATAAGGTTCACGATCAACGGTCACCGTTACTTCAACTTGGTGCTGATAACGAACGTGGCGGGAGCAGGAGACATCGTGAGGACGAGCGTGAAAGGATCAAAGACTGGTTGGATGGGCTTGACTAGGAACTGGGGACAGAACTGGCAGTCTAATACTGTTCTCGTTGGTCAGTCACTTTCCTTCCGTGTCACAGCCAGTGACCGTAGAACCTCTACTTCATGGAACATCGTACCTTCCAACTGGCAGTTTGGACAAACCTTTGTCGGAAAGAATTTCAGGGTCTAAGCGAATTTGGGAAAATCGAAACATTCAAGTGGTATAGACGAAGAAGCTCTACTGCTAAATTTATATTTCCTGTTATCTTTTACTTTATGTTTACTGTGATCTGAAGTGGCTGTTGAAAAAATTGTAAACAGCCCGCAGCTCTTAAATTACATAAGTTTGCTTATAATGTCGAATTTTTATAAATTACCACTTGCTCATAATCAAATGTGCTCTCTTATCAATCCAATTGTAATTTAATTTAATTTAACTTTTTTTTCCTATACAAATGTTTTCAATACGTCCTCGAACTGGATAATTCATACTAAGTAATGTACTCTTAACAACAATGAAATGAAAATATACATAAGAAGGGCTCATATCAAGTGTATGAATTGGAAGGACCGTCATCGAGGGAAAGGGATGAAGAAAATAGCCCAGAATCGAAAAGGGGAAAAAGAGAAAGACATATATATCATATCTCCTTCTCCTTCGATTTCGATTTGGGTTTTTCTCAATCCCACAAGAGTTTTGTTCACACTCCCCACTCAATCCTCTCTTCTTTATAATCATCGCCCACAAGTATTTGAAAATTTCATGTTAAGAAAGAAAACTACAGATCCACTTTCCCGGAAAGCATATGGAATATCAGAGAGAAACGAATCAGAACAACGATGAAGAAGACGGCGTAGAGCAAGACACATAAATATATACACAAATGACAAATCTAAGATAGGTTTAGGGTTTTATTATTAAGCCCACTCCCGATGGGCTTGGTTTGTGTAAATCAAAGCGGTTTAGGAACTGCCCCGTAAAATCCGGTTTATATTGATTAGCCCAACATTTATACCGGTTTAACTCCAATCCTGGTTCGGGATAAGCTATTCAAAAATGAGTTGAATTATTATTTCATGTTCAACTAGCTTCTTTCAACTGTGTTACTCACCTATTTTGTAGAGTACACATTTTAGAAGAGTATAACTTATTTTCATCCAATTTAGTAGGATTCAGTTTAATTTGGAGAAATATTCATTACTCTTAAATGGTATAATTTTAAAGAAATCTCAAAAATATATAATTTCTCTCAATTTTGTTTCTCTAAAATGTCAACTATTTGCACCTAAAGTGTACAAAAATCATAATGCTTATTTGTTCATGGTTAATCCTAAATAGAAGATATTAGTATGATCGCTAAAGTTGCATTTTGTCTCTGAATTTCACTGCAGATGATAATGATGAGAAAGTTTGGGTTTTGTAGCCTAAAGATCAAAAAGTTACAGTTCTGGACATTCCATCTGGACATCTCACCATACATAGTTAGGAGCATTTGGGGATCTTATCTTTCTTTCAGCTCTTAGAAGAAGAGGAGGAAGAGGATGATTGATCTTCAAATATCTATTTTTCTAGCAATTAAATAAACTATTCTTTCAATATATATTTGGGATCTTCCGAGTTTATGGGATCTCTAGGTATTGCAGTTCATCTATAAGTATTTCACGTACCGTATGTAAAAAGCTGATGCATCAAAGTAAAGTTAAATTCGTAACTGATCGTAAGTATTTATAGTATTGGCTTTGTCTATTTGCTCTTATATATTGGCTGCATCATGTGTTCATTTATTGTATTTGCATTGCAGCCCACCCAAGAAAGGAGAGAAGGTTGCCAAACAAGTTAATGAAGATGAAATAGTAAAACAAATAACGCGATTGGTTAAATCGATCAAGATCGGAAACAATTTAATAATATCAAAAGACATATTAATTTTTGGCGATTGTAAGCCATTTTAAAGCGCTTCGGGCTTGTTCACAATGGTGTCTTCGATTCCTGCCTCGGGGGATAAGAACATGGAAGAAGATTCAGACTTGTTCTAGAATTGAAGGACCGAACTCCTCGGGTTGGCACCGAAAAATATATTATCCAATCAAGCAAAGCGAAAAAAAATTAGTTCTTTTTCATGAAATTATGCCAACAGTTAACAAGAAAGAGGGAAAACTGGTGGTCAGAAAAAGAGACAGCGGTGGTGAATGAAGTGGGAGTTGGTTATAGTGGAAGTAATTTGTCTATAATTGCCTTTAGTAACTAGGTTTTCCTATGAATATATCCAGAGGAAAAAGGGGAAGATGATGACTGATCTTCAAAATTCAAATTTTGAAATTCCATTATTATTGGTTTATAGATTCTTAAAATTTTAATAGAATTATTGGTTTAAAGATTTCAAAATTTCATCCAAAATTTTTTATTATTCAAAAAGTTTAGTTTTTAAAGATTTTATGAATCTATTAAAATCTTGTGTTATTGAGACATGAGTTTTAAACAGTTTAACTCACAAATCAAGATTTAAGAAAACTTTCAAAATACTATCTAAATAGTTTAGATTCTCAAAATCATTATAATAAAATATTTTAGTTGATTTAAAATAAGATTTAAAAAGACTTTCAAAATACTATATACTGTATATAACTTAGATTTTCATAATCATTATAATAAAATATTTTAATAAATTTTTCTAAATATACAAACTTTTTTCAAATTTAACAATTTTTTCAACAAATTTAACAAATATTTCAATTTTTAAAATCAAGCAAAATTTTATAACTACATCTTCCAATAATTCTCTAAGTAAACTACTATTTCAATATATATATATATATAAGATCTTCTGATAACTATAACTATATTACGCTGAAACACAATTTTGATAAATGTATTATCAAATTAAGGCACCAAAGAATATTAACACACTTTGGATAGATAAAAATATTCTATTACCTTTTTCTCTATTTCATTGAATTGAGTCAAAGTTTCAGAATTTTTAGAAAATCGAGAAACATAATCTTTTCCATTTGATCACAAGCAAGACTGTCATAAACAAAAGAAAACTCAGTTGTCATTACATCTCATGATAGACTAAGGCTGCTTGATTGTCACCGAACAAGACAACAGAATCAACCAACTGAATGTGGGGATCAGAAGATTGTAACCAATCTAATTCACAATCAACATTATCCAGTGCCTCAACAAAATTAATAGATGATGAATCACTTGAGATCTTCAAAGATAGCACGGCTTTCTAAAATACAATTAGCAGAATCATCCTGTTTATAGAGTGGAACCCTCGTAAAATACTATTTGCCATATAATTTTACGGTGCAAATGTCTAATATTCTCCAGAATATCCAAAAACAATACACTCACCCAACGGTTATCTTTTGATGCAGCTAAAAACAGAAAAAAACTCCACAAGAAAAAGAGAAGCAATGTACGAACGTCCCTGAAAGACCTTGCAGTCCTTCTAAAGCTTTCCTCAACTTGTTCTTTCCCGCAAAGATTGACTGATGTATCATATTTTAGTGAGTTTGAAAAACAGACATTTTATCCATGTAAAACTCCATATTTCAGTAAATGTAACTAAATAATAATTTGTATGGATACTTTTGAGTAATAGTTTTGTATCCCATATCCGATGTACAAAGACTAATCTCTCTCTCGGCTATCCATTCGGTGACAAAGTACAAAATAGTAATAGCATTCCTTTTTTTTTTGTCATATAAAACCGAGTAAGGAAAATTAATATATTTCTACTTTTTGTGCTTGTCCGTATATATAACCCTGTAAATTCGAGCAAATGATAACTTCTTAATGTCCAGCTAGTGTCTCAACTAACAGTAAACAACCTTTTGTAAACATAAAACTCGTAGTTGTTAATCTGAATGATATCTTATTCTGAATGATCCCTCTAATACTTTTTCATTTTTTAAAATATTTATCAGAAAAATAGATAACTAAACAACACTATAAATATTTTCTTCTGAAAATAAAATCACTAAAATATGTTTTTAATTAGCTTGACCAGGCGTCTTTTTAATCGATTTCATTGGTTCGTATGATCCCTTGCAATTAGTGAATATATATGATCCATTGCAAGTAATACTGGAATCAAATTCGAGTCTAGTGCTATATCTGCTATGCTTGAAAAATATGATTGTGCATTTTATTAGTTTGATTCAAATATTATTAAATGCTGATCAAGCACCTTTCTTATCTACACTTACATGGGGCCTAGAAAAACGAGTTTTGGCAAATTATATTTTACGAAATGTGTGAACCGCCTAGGCTATATCAACTTATCGTTAGTTGGAGAAATAGTTCAATTTAACTTCGCCACACGTGGTGGCATAATGCTCGGTCTCAGTGTCATTGTATTTTAAGGGGGGCTCATGGTTCAGATACAGTAATAATTAATGTTGATACAAAAAGCTACAAGAAGACAAATATATGTAGTTTTGGTTGCGTGGTAGTGACCCCCACCACATTCATAGCCGTATGTTGTTTTATATATTTGAAATATATAAAGTGGCCGGAGCCTATGGTGAGAGCAAAGTTTAGGATAAAGCACATATATAACCCTTATCAAATTCTATCGGGGGAAAAAAGGTTTTGCTCATGTAAAAGTGGAATTGAAATATTTGTTGCCGACAAATATATATAAAGATGATAGTAAATGAGGTATGAGATGATAGTAGATAAGATATTCAACCATTTTGTATGATTTCATTTGTTGCTTCATTCCTATGTAAATTTGTTACGTGAGAAGAGATCGGTAGATAATAAATTCACATGCAATTGGGTATGTGCTCTCATGATAAAGCATAGACGTAACAAATTTACATAGAAGAGATCGGTATATAATAAGTTCTTCTGCACTTTGATAAAATATACACGTAACAAATTCCAAAATATACCAGTTTTCGCTATGTAAACTTGATCTTAGTTGTATTTTCAATCTAAACTAAATATGAGTCTATGACTGATGATGAATTACAATCATTCTCACAATATCATATCTACCCGGAAAAAAAGAAAATATGTATCCACGACAACGATACTGTGGCAAATATAACAAGATCTGGTTGGTGGATAGATATGCCTTGTCATCACCAAAGATCTTAGTTGTATTTTTATAGTAATCATTTTAAACGCCATATACATATATGGCATCCTAATAATAAAATAATGTTGTAATGCAATTTCATCCAGAAAATTGAACTTCAATATTTAGAAAAAACGTTCAATTTTCTAATATAATAATTTCAAAAAAAACGTTCAGCGAAAAGTAAGCATGATGTACATATCTAATATCGGCGATGATTGAATAAATATTTATATTTCACACACACTTTTCAAATTAATACATTGTTAACTTAGGTACGTATACACCGTACGCGGCATGCAACGTCTACATAACCAACAACTTGTATATAAATCGATCTAGTTAAGTTTTACCTTAACAAAAAATAGCTATTTTGATAATAAATAATATACTCTGTTGGTTAACGTTTCTAACGTTTGAAAATGTGATTTTCACATTTCTTAACTATTTTGCAAACTTTTATTCAACTCAAATATTCAATCTATTGTATCGTTTGCACTATCTTATCAGTCTACAATTCAGTTAGATGGCAATCGCCTTTGTTTTCGATACGAACCAAATATCATGTAGTATGGGACATGATGGGAGACTAGTTTATGAATAAATATTACATTCCCTGTCTTTCTCCTCTTGAGCTTCACCAACGCTGAGAGGAAACGATGAAGAAGACGGCGAATTTAACCTAAGATGGGTTTAGGGTTGTATTATTAAGCCCACTCTCGATGGGCTTGGTTTGTATAAATTAAAGCTGGTTAGGATCTGCTCC